CTTATGTAGACATGGTTGCATCAGTACATTGGTTACAATTTGGTGACCTTTTTGCAGAAACTGAAGGTTTTATCTGTGCAATACAAGATGAAGTAATTAAAACGAACAACTACCGGAGATACATTCTGAGGGACGGCACAGTTGACGTATGTCGCGCATGTCACCACCCTGGAGAGTCCCTCAGACATGTTATTTCCGGTTGTTCACAACTATCAAATGGTGAGTATTTGCACAGACATAACCAAGTAGCTAGAATAATACACCAACAGCTTGCCATTAAATTTGGCTTTACTCAACAGGACGTTCCATATTATAAATATGAACCAAAGCCAGTCCTTGAAAATAGAAGTGTCACACTGTACTGGGATCGGTCAATTATCACAGACAGGTTTATAGTGGCAAATAAACCTGACATTGTGGTGATAGACCGAACTACACGCAAGGCAATAATAGTGGATATCAGTGTTCCTCATGACGAGAATGTCGTAAAAGCAGAGAATGATAAAAAAATAAAATATATCGACCTGGCTCATGAGATTGTCGCTATGTGGGACGTTGATTCTATTATTGTACCAATAGTTGTATCAGTCAATGGGCTTATTGTTAAAAATATGGACGATTACCTGTCCATGTTAGGTTTGGGCAAATGGCTGAAGGCATTAATTCAAAAATCGGCCTTATTAAATACGGCTCGAATAGTAAGAAGGTTCCTATCTTTGGATGCTTAACTTCACCGATGGCTTAGAATTCCTCGCCGCGGTTGATAATAACCGAAATAATAATATTATTTATATAGATTGTATTTATATTTATAATATTATAGTTTTGTGATAATATATGTGATAAAAATAAATAATAATAATAATAATTTGGCGTATGGAATTAACGACCCTATCGCCCGCTGACGTAACAGTTAAGTGACAAAACTGCTACGTCAACGCAGTCAGTCAGCGCCTTGCGAGAGGTGTGAGCGCCGTGCCTCGGCAGAATTCAGGGTGCAAAGGCCCGTTTGTGCTTATGGCCGTCCACGATACGGTGCCGGTTACTGAGCGTCTCCCGTTAATGGACGCCCAAATTATGGATGATGGAAAAAAAGATAGTGCGCAAAGGGCCGCTGCCTGGAAGTAGCCAGGGCGCGTCTGGAGCTGGCGCTGAACGCGACAGCATGTGGGCCGCCAGCCGAGCGCGGGGTGGTGCAAGACCGCCTAGCAGCCCCCCGCATCCATCATCCCCACCAGAAGGCTTGGTGTCGGCTGGGTCTTCTCGGACTCAGCAAGCGGCACCCGCCGCTGGTGGAGCACGTCGCATGCGTTGGTCAAAATTAATGAATGTAAACGCACTGCGGGCGTATTTTAAGGCAAAAAGGGAAGAAACTGGACGTTTGGCGTATCGGGCTCGGATGCATCGTTTTTTTGCAGAGCTGGAGCCATCTCTTTTTTTTTTTTTTTTTTTTTTTATAGAAGAGGGGGGCAAACGAGCATGTGGCTCACCTGATGTTAAGTGACTACCGCCGCCCATGATCAACCGCAACACCAGGGGAATTGCAGGCGCGTTGCCGGCCCTTTAGAAAGGAGTAAGCTCTTTTCTTGAAGGTCCCCAGGTCGTATCGGTCCGGAAAAATCACCGGTGGTAAATTATTCCACACAGAGGTTGTACGCGGAAGAAAACTCCTTTTGAAACGTACAGTGGTGGACCGCCAAGCATCCAGATGGTGTGGATGGTATCGGGACGTTTGCCGTGTAGTGCGTTCACGAAATTTGGCGGCTGGGATTAATCCGAACAATTCCTCGGAGCACTCCCCGTGATAGATGCGATAAAATACGCAAAGAGATGCAACATCTCTTCGCAGCGCCAGTGAATCGAGCCGATCGGAAAGCACTCGGTCGTCGACGATTCGAGCCGCTCTGCGCTGGATGCGGTCAAGTGGAAGGAGCTGGTACTGGGGAGCCCCAGCCCAGAGATGGGAACAGTATTCCATGAGCGGCCGAACCTGCGCCTTGTAAAGTTGCAGGCGGTGTGCCGGCATGAAATACTGTCCCGCTCTGCTGAGCACGCCAAGCTTTTTAGAGACCAATTTGGCCTTCCCTTCCAAGTGACCACGAAACTGCACGTCACTCGATATGTCGACGCCGAGGATTCCGATACTGGCTGAGGCAACAAGGGGAGTGCCTTGAAACTGAGGGGATACGACAAAGGGGTTCTTTTTAGCGGTTAACGCGCAAACTTGTGTCTTCTGGGGGTTAAACTGGACTAGATTTAGTCGCCCCCCAATCCGAGACTCTGTCCAGCAGAGACTCGACTTCAGATACAAGTTTGTCCCGGCACTCAGAGACGTTTTCCCGAGAAATATTGGCTCGGCCGGTGTAAAGAGCATCACCAGTGCTGTCATCTGCATAGCAATGAACGCTACGGGTTTGCAACATATCATTGATATGCAGAAGAAACAGCGTTGGCGATAGCACGCAGCCCTGTGGAACACCAGCATTAATAAGCTTGCAATCGGAGCTTGCACCGTCTACAACGACCTTGATGCTCCGATCCGCAAGAAAACTGGTGATCCAATCGCACAATTTTTCGGGAAGCCCATAGGAAGGGAGCTTCGAAAGAAGCGCTTTGTGCCAAACCCGATCGAAGGCCTTCGCAATGTCCAAACTAACGGCCAATGCCTCCCCCTTGGACTCTACTGCCTCCGCCCATCTGTGAGTCAGGTAGACCAGAAGATCACCAGCTGACCTACCACGGCGAAAACCGTATTGGCGGTCACTAATCAGCTGGTGATCCTCAAGGTACCTCATGAGCTGGCAGTTTACAATGGACTCCATTGTTTTGGAGAACAAGGAGGTGATGGCAATAGGCCGGTAGTTGGACGGGTCTGAGCGGTTGCCTTTTTTAGGGATCGGGTGGACGAAAGCCGTCTTCCATGATTTTGGGACTACGCCTAGGGAGTAGGAGTACCGGAAAAGACGCGTTAAAACCGGTGCCAACTCTGGAGCACACGTCCTCAGCACAATTGGAGGGATTCCATCAGGCCCACTCGACTTATGGATGTCCAGGGAGAGGAGTGCTTTGCGAACCGAGCGCTGAGTGAACTGCACTTCCGGCATGGAGCACTCACACCGCGGGATGGTCGGCGGCGTACTCCCCCCGTCATCGAGAGTCGAGTTAGACGCAAAGAAAGAGCCTAGAAGATCGGCTTTCTCCTTTGCGGTGTGGGCCAGTGAGTCGTCCTCCCTGTGCAGAGATGGAAGAGATGGCTGACAGAAATTCCCCTGGACAGCCTTGGCGAGAGACCAGAATGCACGGGTTCCAGAAGGAAGACGAACTAGTCTCTCGCCAATTCTGCCTATGTGCTCTGACTTTGCCTTGGCAATGACTCTTTTGAAGGACCTAGAGGCGGAATTATACTTCTTTTTAGAGCGCTGGTGTTTACATCCCTGGACGCTGATGCGTCAGCCCAGGCTCGGTAGCACTCCTGCTTATAGCATGATGCTATTTTACAGGAGCGACCAAACCATGGCTGAGATTTGCCTCCAATGGGCACCACAGAAGAAGGAATAAAAAGTTCCATACCCTGAAGTACCACATCAGCGACAGAATCCGCAACAACGTTGGGATCGTCCGGCGAGAAGCAAACCCGCCCCCAAGGGTAGGATGCAAAGAAAGACCGCATCCCATCCCAATCGGCTGACCTATAGTGCCAAACACGGCGGCAGCCTGCAGAATGCAACCGCGATTTCAGCGTGAGTGGCACCACACTCCGGACAAGACAATGGTCCGAGGAGCCTAAAGGGGCGTCGACGGAAATCTGATATCCGTCCGGGTGAGAGGTCAGCAGAAGGTCCAACAGGGAAGGTGCATGATCCTCCACATCTGGAATCCGCGTAGGCGAAGTAACCAGTTGTGTCAGACCATATGCCAAGGCAAAATCATGAACAGATCTCCCCGCATGATCGGTTAAACGTGAACCGAGCCATTCGGCGTGATGGGCGTTAAAGTCGCCGAGGATCACGATCTCTGCGGAGGGGATCTGCTGTAGCAACGAATCTGCAGCCATTTGGACGTGGTCGAAGAGTCGGTCTGTTTCGGCATTACCGCTATGGGACCTATAGAGGCACCCGTAGACGCGCGGATGGTCGTCGCTGTCTACGCGTAGCCAAAGGATGGACAGGTCCGAACCTTCAAGTCTGCCGAGGCGTCGAGAACAGATGTCCTCTCTGACGTAAACGCAAACTCCAGCCCGAGGCACAAAGGAGTGTTCCAGTTTGTACCCCGGGCAGGAGAGATACGAGACATCAGCCGGAGAGGACACCTGCGTCTCGGTCAGAAAGAGCAGAGCCGGCCTCGCCGTCTCGAGATGGTAGTGGACGGCGTTTAGGTTAGAGTGAAGTCCCCTGATATTGCAGAAATTCACGGACAGCGTGGCAGGGGTCGCCTTGGTCTTGTTGCTCCGAGCAGTTTTAGTCTTGAGCGGAATATTGCCCCCCCCAGAATACGCGGGGCAGCCTGAGCACCCACGCTCAGAAGTGGAGAAACATGGTCGTGGATGCTCAGCGAGGGATTCTCCAGGGGTGCTGGTACCCTCCTGGGGTAGTCTATCATTTAATTCCGCTACCATGTTGATGGGGGGGGATTTGGGCCTCCGGCCACCTGCACTCACCAGACGAAACGCGGAAGCAGAGCTTCCACTTCACGCCGGTATTCTGTGAGGTCGTGGTACCACCCCGGTTTGAGCCGGCCCATACGTGCGACAGCAAAGCTGCCGCGTGGCTCTACCACTGTTAAACTATCTCTATCCGTCACTGAGCAAAACCTGGCAGACCGAGTTCGGTACATCCTGCGCTCCAACATATTTGGTGACGCTGAACTCGAACGACTACGACGTGAGGCTATTCCTTCATCGAATGGAAAGGCTCGGGCTGGGAATGCGGCGCCACTAGATGCGCAACAAACTGCATATGTGGATGCTGCCGTCAACATTCCATTTGTGGCTAATTCAGACGATGATAGTCTCCCACGAACTAGAGAAAATGAGGAGCATATTGGAAGAGTCGATGCTGGAAACAAGCAGCATGCCTCTCGAAAATCGACCGCGACTTTCCCGCATACTCCTTATTTGGAAGCCAGCCGGGACCTTTGCGAGACGGACTCAATTCTTTTTGGCGCTGCACTGGCAGTATGCCAAACTTCCCGTGGCTGGACGTGCTACTCAAAAAAGTAGCGCCATCCCAGTCTGGAGAAAAAGAATTGAGGACCGTATCGCAAAGGCAAGGGCCCTTATCGGCAGACTGACAAGCTTCAGGTCGGGTAATAATAGACCGAGAGTTGTGCGCACCGTTAGAATGGCGTTTGCTGGGACAAATTTTAGTTTGTCCCAGCTGGATATCACGCAGAAACTAATGGAGCGCATAGATGCGCATAGAAAAATCGCTGCTTGGGGGAAGCGGATTCGACGATTTAGCGAGAGGTCAAGGCGGTTCAACCAGAATCGTCTCTTCCAGAGTGATCAGAAGAGGCTCTATAAATCATTGGAGCGACCAGAGGTATGTGGAGCGGGCCCAGGACCGGATCAGGCTGACACTGTCGCATTTTGGCGTGGCCTGTGGTCAGAGCTCGTAAACCACAGCGAGGGCCCTTGGATGGAAGTTGTGGCGAGCCAGAGTGCAAGTGTTACGCCTTTTGGACCCCATCACCATAACGCCTAAAGACGTGGCTGAGGCGGTCCGTAGGGCCCCGAACTGGAAAAGTCTGGGGCTCGACGGGCTGCATCATTACTAGCTGAAGGGATTCGTGGTGTGTCATGCTGTGCTCGCACGACAGTATCAAGAGGCTCTCGATCAGAAGTCGCTCCCGAGCCTCTTCACTACTGGGACCACTCATTTGGTTCCTAAAGATCAGGATACCACAGACCCGAGCAAATACCGCCCCATCACGTGTCTACCCACCATATATAAGACACTGACATCCATTTTGAGCGCGAGAATCACTCGTCACCTCGAGCTAAATCAGGTGATATCACGCGCTCAAAAGGGATGTCGGGGCGGTGGTCGTGGAACCAAGGAACAACCAAAGTGGTGAAACGCAACCGTCGGAATTTCTCCGCCGCCTGGATAGACTACAGAAAGGCATTCGACTCGGTGCCCCATACATGGCTAAAGAGAGTCCTCCAGCTGTACAAAATTGACTGTACAGTTGGAGACTTCCTCGAGTAGTGTATGGGGCAATGGAGTACGATCCTTTGCTATCTGGGCGAGCGGACGATGGCTGCGGAGAACCACATAAGGATAAGAAGGGGTATCTTCCAGGGCGATTGTCTGAGTCTAAACTGGTTTTGCCTCTCTCTGAACCCTCTCAGTACTTTACTAGAGGGCTACGGGAGGGGATTTCAGCTTCGAAAAGGAGGTACAAAAGTGACCCACCTTTTCTATATCGATGACCTCAAGTTATTCGCCTCCAGTCGCTCCCATCTTATGGAATTGCTAAACATCACTTGTGGATTTAGCAATTCTATTGGAATGGAGCTGGGAACGGATAAGTGTGCGGTCCTCCGTGTTGAAAGGGGAAGGGTTGCTAATTCTGAGGGCATAGACTTATCTATGCCCGTCAACTTAAGGACCCTTTCCGAGGCTGAAACATACCGATACCTGGGTATGTCACAGAACATCGGTATCGATGAGGCTGGTATGAAACTGTCAGTTTGCGACGTGTTTTATGCACGCTTGACCAAAGTGCTTAACAGCCTTTTGTCCGGTGTGAATAAGACACACGCATATAACGGCTGGGTCATGTCTGTCCTCATATATACCTTTGGCATACTCAGGTGGAGTCAGACTGAACTTAACGCCCTGGATAGAAAAGTCCGCACTACTATGACGTCCCATACGATGCATCATCCGAAATCGTCGGTAATGAGGCTGTACTAGACGCGAAAGCATGGTGGGCGTGGCTTCTTGAGCGAGCTCACCATGCATAATCGCGAAGTGTGCAGCTTCCGTGATTACTTCCTGGCGAGATCGGATGATCCATTCTATAATGACGTCATTTCTAGTGATAAAGGACTTACCCCTCTATCCTTAGCCAACGAGCAATGGCAGGACCCAGTAGTACAGAGCATTTCCGACCGGGAGACCATATGGAAGGAGAAGGAGCTCCACGGGAGGTACTACAGGGCTCTACATGAGCCCTTCGTAGATACAGTCGCCTCCCTCAACTGGCTACGTTTCGGTGACCTCTTCGGGGTAACCGAGGGTTTTAATAAATAAATTAAGGGTTTATTATATATTTGCAATACAGGATCAGGTTATTAAGACCAACAACTATCGGAGATACATCCTAAAGGATGGCACTGTCGACGTCTGTCGAGCTTGTCGCCATCCCGGGGAGTCACTTAGGCATGTCATCTCCGGTTGTTCGGCGCTTTCTAGAATTCTACACCAGGAGCTCGCTCTGAAATACGGTCTCGTGGACCGGAAATTGCCGTATTACAAGTACTTGCCGGAAGCAGTGCTCGAAAATAACCGCGCCAGGCTCTACTGGGACCGGGCCATCATCACAGACCGGACTATTCTTGCGAATAAGCCTGATATTGTGCTGATGGACCGGGCACAGTCAAGGATATTTTTGGTCGACATTAACATTCCGTATGACGAGAACCTCGTGAAAGCCGAAACAGATAAGCAAACAAAATACCTGCACCTGGCTCACGAGGTGACCGACATGTAGGGTAGACTGCCGACCGAAATTATTCCTGTAGTCGTCTCTGCGAATGGGCTAATCCCAGTCAGCCTCTCTGGTCATCTGAGGCTCTCGTCACTCCGTGACGGACCGCTCCGGGCTCAAATGCAGAAGGCGGTGCTCCTCGATACCGCCCGCATCGTCCGCCGGTTTCTTTCCCTTTCCTCCTAATCCTCGGCCGTTTGGTCTCCCCTGTCGAGGGCTTCCATCTGATTGGGCTTTTATTTATTTATGTATTTTTGTATTTATTTTATATAATTAAAATAAAATAAATATATATTTATAGACCCCAACCAGATGAGAAAACTATATAGATACACATAATAATAATAATAATAAAGCCTCTTTATTCCTTAATAGAAAATAATTACAATACAACAATTATATGTGCGCTTAGAAAATAAAATACAATATATATTGCTATTAAGGACCCCTCTTTGGGTAAAGGCCTCCTCCATCTTTTCCCACTCTTTTCGGTTCTGTGCTATTGTTAACCAATTTTTTCCTGCTGTCTTTTCAATCTTATCGACCCATCTTTCTTTCGGTCTTCCTTGCTTGCGTTTGCCTGTTAGTCCTGTCCACATGGTTACTCGTTTAGTCCATTTGGTATCTGTAGATCGTGCTACATGACCTGCCCACTTCCACTTCAATTTTTGAGAGTAATGTAAGGCGTCTATCACTCCTATATTATATACCTTTTATTTTATAATATACCTTTGATTATATACAGGTATATAATCAAAGTTCTATACTTACTCCAGTAGTTTACGCTCTAGCAAAAAATCTGAGTGGTCACCTAGGAGTAATAGTGTTCTGTGGTGATCACTCATTAGTCCTTACCCACATTCCAAAAGAAAGAAGGGCATGATCTTCGAAAGTGCTTTTAAATTGATTACTTTGCAAACTGCATTATTAGCAAATTAGTCAGGAAGACACACTGACCTCTATATATACAAGTACACTGGACTGGCTATACACCGTGACATGATGAAGCAATTTGATTTCCGCCATTTTGGCGCTGACAGCAGAAGTGCACGTCCACGGAACTAATAATAGGGATAAGACAGTGTACCAAATTATTTCGATAAAAATTCTATACCCTACCTACACCTAAATTAATAGAATGGACTCTATGGATAGATGGACTCTACCCGTAACGTCCATTCTATTTATGTATCATACTAATATAATGCCATTATCATTCATCAACATTAAAACCCTTCACAAGTCCACTGCTGAACATAGGCCTCCCCCAAGGAATGCCATAAAGTACGGTCCTGAGCTTCTGCATCTATCAACTTCCTGCATGTCTTACCAGGTTTTGACTCTATCTAGTGGGGGAACGTCCTACACTTCACCTGCCGGTACGAGGCTGCCACTCGAGAACCTTTTTCCCCCATCGGTATTCGGTTCTTCGAGCTATATCGCCGGTCAATTGCCACTTCAGCTTACTAATCCATTGGTCAATGTCGGCCACTCTGGTTCTGCTGCAGATATCCTCATTCCTAAGTTTGAACCCCTGAGAATAGCCCTCTTCATAGCTCGCTGAGCGACTTCAAGCTTCCTCATACGGCCAGCAGGGAAAGACCTCGTCTCAGATCCATAGGTCATCACTGGCAACACGGACTTGTTGTACAATCTAGTTTTGAGGTATTCCTGACGAGAAGATGTGTTGTAATCTCCCGAACGCTGCCCAGCCGAGTTAAATCCGTCGATTGACCTGTTGGTCGAGGTTGAACTTACCTAGTCGGACTATTTGTCCCGAGTAAAAATACTCGTCAACAACTTCAGTTAAGTAATCCCAAAAAGCCAAAAACCACCGGCATAGGTGTGACATGGACATTACACATGACTTTTGTTTTATCCAGTTCATCTTAAGACCTATCCGTTGGGAGACACTATTGAGGTCATTGAACAAAGTGTGTAGGTCCTCCAGCGATTCTACCAAATTGTCGACAAATTGAAGGTGAGTGACGTACACGCCATTGACGTTAATACCGTATCCTTTTCAGTCCAGTAGCTTGAAAACGTCTTCCAATGCAGCGGTAAAGTATTTCGGGGATATTACGTCACCCTGTCCTACACATCTCTACAATTGAATTAGTTTTGTACTCTGGTTCTGTACTCGGATAGCCATCGTAGCCCTTAGAGCATTCAACTAAAATTAAGATTAAACTATCTATACAAAATAAAAATAAAAACATAGTTTCTAAAATAATTTATTGTCAACCGTTCATTTAGTTCTAGTTAATACTAGAACTAAATGAACGGTTGAAATATAATTAAAGAAAAACAAATCAGCTGCTATAATAACGCTTATTCTAATCAACTACAGGTCTGTCTATAGACAGTAAAATATTTTCTACTATATAAAAATTTATGTTTATTCGTACTTTCTACGATGACATACCGTTCATCAGATTGCGGTAAAACTTAGTCAACTTATTGGTTATTGCCACGGAGCAAATTGCTCCGTGGTTATTGCACTTGTGCGAAGGTTATACGCATGGTACAATTAACAGACACTAGGTGGCGTGCCTATTATACTGACTATTTATTTGAAAGTTATAGAAAGTTATATATCATTCTATTTCAATGATTGTATTATCATTCCTAATCATACAATATAACTGTTTCACATTTTTAACGATATTTCCACAATTATTTCCTCTGCGGCAGCAATGCGCCGGATACGAGCTAGCAAGATAATATTAAAAAAAATATATAAACATTGAATTACATAGTTATCAGTTATTTACGTCATTTTCGTTATATAAATTTTCGTTATATAAACTAGTTCATGAAGTCTTCTGTCGTTTTGGAGTACCTTTAGAGATTCACAGCGATCAAGGAAGGAATTTTGAGTCTCAAATATTCCAGGAAACTTGCCGAGTTACGGGTACTCATAAAACAAGAACGACTTCTTATCACCCGCAATCTGATGGATTGGTAGAACGATTTAATCAGACAT